CCGCAGTGCATCTCTGTCATGATGCCCTGAGGAACGTGCCTTGCTGGTGCAAGATGGACAGTGGGTTTCTTTCCCTCCGGGACCGGGCTCCTCTGCCGAAGGGTTAGCACAAGTAGTGCCACTCCTTGTTTTCCTTCAGAGAAGCAAGTGGGCCAGCCGGAGCAGAGCAAGGAGGTCAGTGAGCCATGCCCCATCAGGAGGGCACAGGAAGACAGATGCTGGCCCCGAGGTGCTCCCAGGCAGAAGGGAGCAAGAACTGCCGTAGCATAGCCCCGGTGGGAGACCGCTAGCCTAGTCGTCTATGCAGTAGGCAGAAGGGGAACCTGCCATGCCAGGCATTGCTACCAGTAGCTGCAAAAGTTGAGATGCCTCTAGTTACAAGAGCTGTGAGGAGGTCCATGTTTCCACCGGTACCTGCCGCTGTCTGCTCCCTCGACCCTGCTAGCTGGGAGAATCAGCGAGGAAGGAAAAATACCTCAGTCGTCTACAACTCTGTGATGTTTCTTTGTGCACTGGTCCCCTTCCTCATCCCCAGCCCGTGGCAGCCCCACCAGGCAGGTCCCAGGGGATTTGGCAAAGAGGGAGGAGCAGCGTGTAGCCAGGAGAGGAGTTAGTGCCAGGCGGCAAAGCCTTGGAGCAGTGTTGCAGTTGGGTGCTGTGTCCCCTGCCATTAGTGGTTTGGAGGTTTTTGTGTCGGGGGGTGCTCAGCCTGACATCTTAAAAGAAGGTAGATTTTAGGAAGGTGCCAAGGTCAGACCTGCTGAGAATTTGGCTCCTGTAATATCCTCAGATTGGTTGCCCAACATCTTAATTAATTTCTGAAATTTTTGGTCTTAATTGCATAACTCCCTCCCCCACTATAAGGCTGCATGTACTGTCAATATATGCAGTCCCTGCTGTTAATGAAGATTTTTAATGAACACCCTTGATATCTTGGGGTTTTGTCTTGTAATGAGCAATAATTTTAAAACACTGGATTTGATCTTTTAAAAACAAGTGGAAGTTCTTCACTGATTAACACATGCTGCTATTTGGCCAGTTGAAAATGCTGGTTACAGAGGACCTCCCAAAATAGCAAAACAGAGCTTTTATTTGTTTATACCTACAGTGTTTGGAAAAAAAAATATATATATTTATGAATTGTTTCTGTTTCTCAGTGTTCCTGGGAAACATTTTTGTCAACTCAGGACATCAGTGAAAACTGAGTTTAATAAACAAAACACATTACAAAACCAATGTTTCTTACTCTCTCTGTAACCCTATTCAGGCAACAACATTTCTCTTGACTGCTGATAGCAAAAGGGCTGGGGTAGTTGTAAAGCATATGCCTCTGCAACCTGTTCTCCGTACACTTACAATTACCCATTGACTTGTCAGAGTAGGGTCGTTTGCCAGCCTAGGACTAAAGTCTTCATAGGAGATGATGGGGATTGAATTTAATTTCAGTGGGATTTGGAGTTAGGTGTCCAGTTCCCATTGATTTTTTTTTAGCAGAAGGTCAGCTGTGCTTTGGAAAACGTCCGATGTTTTTATAGAAAATAAACTTCAGTGCATGGCATCTCCAGGGTTTGATTTGAACAAACTGTTGCAGAACAGAGATCCAGCGGTCTGAGGAACACTGTGCCAAAGTACACAACACCACCCAAAAGTCAGCCCTTGGGATGTTATCACTTTATAGTACTACATGTTACGTAAAACCACCTGATGAGTTTCTAAATCTCGTGGGCAAGGAGAAGAGACATCGTATTGCAGTGTTTGCGCAATGGAGGTTGCCATTAAGCGGTGCCTTTACAGAAACACCTTGCTGTCACTTGTAGCTGTGAAACCGGTTCTGATGTCAACAAAATGCAATTTGTTGTAACTGAATAGGACAGAAACTGCCTAGAAGAGACAATAATTACGATCTCTGAATGAGTTTAGCTACCAAAGTAAGGCCCTGTGCAGGGGAAGTGCAAGTTCCTAAGCATAGCCACAGGGAGGAGCAGGAATTAACAGCAGCATTGGATCAGAGTGGAGCAGCTCACTTCTGCATGGCAGGCAGGAGTAACCAGGGTGAGGTAGTTGTGCATCAAATTATGTACTGATCACAACATGAACAGAAAAAGGTCTGTCAGTCCCAGCACTCAGATAAAACTGGTCATGGGGGAACCTGCAAATATTGCAAAATAGCCTTTGGTTAAGTATTAGGATGCAGAAATTCTAAAAATCTGCACTTGAAAAATTACAGAAACCAGCAGAAATTGCTTCCGTAGAGGTCCAAGCTCAAGTTCATCATTCTGTTTATCTCAGTAGGAAGTGCCCTGTCTTTCATGCACTTGAGGTAGAAGACTGATAAACTGAATTTCAGTTAGTAAAATGAAGAGTAATTTGCCTTTTCTAATTTGCATAGAAATGACCAGGGAGATGCACATCTTTAACTTCTGTTTTGCTCAGACTTGGGCTTCCTGTGCTGACAGGAGAAGGAAACACAGCTTAGTTTGTCTCCAAGCAAGCCTTTGGCTGTGTCTTGGGGACCAGCAGTAGAGGACCCTCCACCTGGAACCCAGAGATGGCACACACTCTCCATAAGGTTCAGATACTGCCCAGTTGCCTATTGATACTGACCTGCCAGAGGTGTTTAAATGATGTATTTAGGCTCTATCACAGGAAAAGTTACCCACATCTATACAGCAGATATAGTGGGACTGTCCTGTTTAAGCGCAAGAACAAAGATGGGGAAAGAAATGCAAACATCTCCCAGTGAAACTCTTTCCAGATTTTGGGCAAGTTAAAAATCCGTGGCAGGGGAAAGGCTCCTGGGCAGCACTTGCATTTTGGGTCTCAAATTGCCTATGTGAGGACACGTTCAGATGGTAAAAGAAAGTCAGGCAGCATCACACCCTGGAGCTGTTGCAGCACGGACCAAGTATCATAGGCCTCTGGGTGGACAGGCTACCTCACCAAATGGACTGGGGCACCTCATTAAGGAGCGAATTCCTCTCCATTGAGAAAGATGGAAAAAAGATTTCATAAAATATATAAATCTCAAACAGCATCCAAGTCAAAGGCTCCCTGGTGATACTGCATCACCGCCATGGTCCTGGGTGGGGGGAATTCATCCCTCAACAAGAGCGATTACCTTCTTCACTAGAAGCAAGTTTGGGTTTCTGTTGTTGGATGCACCACCCAGACCTCTAGCTGCCATTCAGATGGGCTTGAGTCTCACATGTGGCCTGTATCATGTCTGGAGGCTTGTACAGATGTCTTTGATGTCCTACAGGTCTCAGGTGCCACTAGATACCTGCATGTGGGGAGGCAAATCCCACCCATGCCCAGCAAAGCCTGCCAGCACCCACCTGGGAAACGGTGGCTGTAAGAGAGCTCAGCGAACACCAGGTGCCACTGTTCCCTTAGCCATGCTGCAGCATGCTGAGGGAAATCATGTTTACAATGCAGGGGAAATTTTTCCAACCTTTTTTTGCATGCATCAAGTCTCTGAAAGCTGCAAGAACTGGCTTTCTGTTAAAGGCTGGGGTTTAGATATTTAATAATTGGTCTGGCACTTTCCGAGAGACAGTGGTGAGCCCATGTCTCTTTCAAAGGTTCAGATGGCTGGGGCCAGGGACTCTGCTCCTGCTTGGAAGTGCTGCTACTCAGTGTGGGGCTGTCTGCTGCAGGAATTTGCATGTTCACGAAGGACATTTTTTTTCCTAGATAGAGGGACTTTGGCACCCCTTCCTTCGCTAGGAAAGGAAAAATACCAAGAATTCTTTAAAAAGAGCAATGTGAGAGGGTTTAAAGTACATCTGGGTTCACTTAGCTTTCAGATTATTTTTTTTTTCTTAGATTGACTTTGTATTTAGCTAATATTTCAACTGGAAAGAAAGAAAAAAAAAAAGGACATTTTTCATCCATCCATAAGTTGCAGACATGCACCACTTGGGTTTCCTTTTCCTAGGCCACAGTAGAAGCAGACACAACTAGCACAGTTCATGCGATAACTTGAAACAGATAATGATTGGGTATGAATCAGGGTAGCTTCTCCAAAGTGAGAAATCCTGATTTATACTAACTGATGGTCTAAGCTTTGTCTTCCACCAGCATCCGTTTGGTTATTTCAGACATTGCCTGTATCAATCAGGCTGTTGAGCAAACCTGGAAAAACACTTGTTGCTAATCGTTGGCCAATATGTTGGCTTAACAGTGGCTGAGCAAAGTATTTTAGGTTTTTGGGTCATGGGGAGCAACACTGTAGGGTTCCCTTCCTCTAAATTAGAGCTAGGAATTAGGTATAGTGCAATCGCTGTCTGTAATAGAGACCAGCTAGAAACAAAAATCAATTTACAGACCATCTTGACTGTGCATGTGGACACACGGTTTCTTCTTTATATTCCAAATTTTCCTAGGACATGCATCATGACTGTGGCAAGATGAGGAAAAAAATGACGGTGGAAATTCAGCTGTGATGTGTAAGACAGGCAGAAGGTGGCAGTGTAGGTGTTTGGTAAAGGCTGCAGCAGCAGCAGGCGAAGGAGATGGGAGGCAGTGGCCTGAAAGGAGTCAGGCTTTCCATTTTACTTGCTATGGATGTAAATCATGCCGTAAGTTCTGATAAATAATGAGACTGGACATGGGAAAGAAAAATGTCATCTTTTAAATGTCAGCTATAGGAAAAATTACCATTTCAAACCACTCAGTTTCAATAATTTCTAATGTTAGAAATTCCAACACTTAGATAGTCTTCCTGGAGGGAAAGCATGTACTTTTCTAATTTAATGAGGATCAGTAACGTTGAGTGACTTGCCACAAAATAGCTCTCCAAAAGCATTTCTTTGAAGACAAACAACCATTTTTGCATGGGGATTCCTTGTTAGGCAAGTTATGGATTATCAGAAACATTTCTTTGGCTTACAAATTGCAGATGTTGTGGACACATCCGTAGGGGAGCTGCCTTTGCACAAGGGAGGCCATGGAGAAATCTGCT